AATGATCATCATCATCATTACAAGGGATGTGGATATAGTCACTGAAACAGCGAACACACTAATGTTAGAGACCACCCATCGGCAAGTCATATATAACAGCAGTATTCGAGACAATAATCGGGTGTTAACTTTCCGTGAATTGGGCAATTATAGAAGCACGACTTGCCTCTTATCTGGTTAAACATATCTCTACTGAAAGAGTTGATTCCGATTAATGTGTGTTTCGATGGATGCAATCGTTCGATTAGTCAATTCTCACAGGTCATAACTTGACGGTTTGGGTGCTCATTAACGATTTGAAGATACGACGTGGGTCTCGGGAGTTTTGTAGTTTGGCTGCGGCGGTAAGTGACGATATCGAGTGTCTACCAGTGTTTTAACCAAGAAATTTTCCATGGCCACCTCCACAAATGATTTTAGAAAGTGCAGAAAATTGCTTTAGTTGAAGGTTTGAGTAAACAAACGTCACCGTTTGGCGACATCGACTTCTGATGGTGATTGTCTGAATACTAAAAACCTCTTCTTTTGGTTGATATGTTTCCACTTGAAATGGGAAATCACTTTAAAGATCGTTTCAGAGTTGGCCTTGTGCGTTACCTACATGGGCATCCTGCGAGGATGTACAGTGAGTCACTGAACTGCGAGCTACAGTTGAACCTTTTAATTTTCATTGATTCAAGGAAGATTAACCTGTGACCCAAAGCAACCCCTTTCACTGGGGTGATTGGATGAATCAGAAGTGTTATTTTGAGAGGTGAACACTTTTATGCACCCATAACTGGTTGATTTCATCTATCCGCATTCGTGCCCCGAAAATAGGCCTCATGGTGCCAAGATGCACATGTTTGGCCAAAATCCCCACAAATGTCAGATGCTGTTGCTTTTGAATTCAACAGCAAGACGGGGAATTTCCCCTAAACTCAAGCAGTCCTGATTATTTTGCAAAAAGCACTGACAAGATTACCAAAACAGCTATAAAACTGGGGTATCCAGTCAAAATCAACATAAATTTCATCCAGACCCTGGTTACTGTGGCGGAAGCTTTCTGTTTTTCCATACCTCCTTCACTTCCCGTCCTTCTGACAACTCCAGTAGATTCGTTTTATTCTGTTTGCGTGCTTCTAATCCAACTTCACTTAAGTTACCCTATGGTGAAAATTCGCCTCCACCATGAATACTAGAGCCTTTTTTGACAACAAATAAATCTGGCTTATTCTAAGTATTTCCACTGCTGCAGAGAGCTTGGCCCCTTTTAGACCTCTTCAGATATTTTTAAATTGTGGAAGTAAATTTCCAATTCATTAGTTTGACTGAAAACCTTTTTTTAATACTCGGACAATTTTGTAAACCCAGTGAATGGCCACGCATTAGCTAAGAACCCTTTTACGCACCAATTTGAATTCTGATGTTCGAATGGCGATTAGTATCTAAACCTCAGGCATTTAGTTCGCTTTGGGTTTCAATACAGTTTCGTTTTGGCCAATTTTACTTCAAAATTCTTCTCCAAACAACCCTAGCAGGTGATGGCTGTTGCGGAAAGCTTCGTCGTGCAAAGGGGACATTTTTATTGCTATAGGGACACTCCACAGAATTACAGATCTTTCGTGGGTTGTTTTTAACCTCAAATTACCCTTTAGATAGGCTTTGGTTAATCAACACGCCGGGTTTCATCATTGTTTACACGAATCCCCTAACCACGCCACGTCCGGGGCTGAGCCACCCACAGTGCCTTGCTGATAACCCCATCTGTATTGATCCGCTTTCATCCATCAGGTCAAGGTCAGCCTTGACCTATATTAGTGTTGACATTGTTACAGATCACTCAACATTTGGCTGAGGCATGAAAAGCTCTTTGCACGAGGCCCTCTTTTGTCTTTCATTAGCGTTGGAAGGTGTGGGGGATGGTCTAGGGTACCGGTTACCTGAATGGGCGCGTTGTCTTGGTTACGGCCAAAAAATAACCTAATGCCATTAAACACATTTACTTTCCAACCTAACCTTCAAACCAATAACGAGATATTCATTTACAGTTGTTTGTATAAGGTCATTATCAAAACCGAATGTAAAAACGAACAGGCGCGTCACGTTTAAAGATGCCAATTTCAACTAAGAGAGCCTATCTGTCAATTTATTGCCTAAACCTGACTAGCGACCAGGTCAACCTACTGAAATTGTGGCCAGGCAAGAGTTGGAGAACGAGTACAGAAGACCAAGTTACTATGTAATCGTAGCATTTGAGGGTCACCAAAACTTTGTGGATATTCTGAGAGGCTCAATATGCATGGCATACTCTTCACCTACCATATGAATGGTGTTTTCTCTAGAACAAATTTCAGTTATTTACAGAAGTTTATCACCTTCGCCAAAATCAATCGAACATGGCGGTGGACGAGGCCTGGTGAACCCGTCCGAGTTACATTAAAATTGAAATAAGCACGCTGACAATTTTCGGAGATGCTACCAGCAAAGCTGAATTCTGGAATAGTCAGAGAACAATGAACAGGTTTGGAGATTCACAAAGGAATTTTCTTTCCTGATGTCAAAGTAGGATGCGGTTTGTGTTTAGTAACTCCTGGAAGAATTTGATATCTGGATGGAAAATAATAGCATGTGGCACTCAAATCATCGAACAGTACACCATGTGATGGAAATGCTTAAAAAATGCCACCACGAAGTTGCCAGAAGAACGGCAAGGTATCGCGATCCACAAATCATCAATCCACATGGTTAATTCTTATCCACTCTGATGAGTTGATTGGTCCAAACTATGATGCATCTTATCACATCAATGCATACACAAACTTTGAACAGTGGTGGGCATTCCCAAATCAAGCGAAACCCTCATTCGTGTACTCATGCCCTCAGTTGGCCACTTCAAAATGGTTTTGCTAATTTTCCAGTGCTAACATTCAGCCAATGACAACTTTTGTGATCTAATATCCAAGTCTTATGGCCCGCCAAATGCAGAGATGTCTTAGCTTGAGCGATTCGAATTACACCACAAATTACTACACGGATAACGGATTCATTTAAACACACGAATTGGGCATGTCTTTTTTATTAACTATTAACAACAACTCGTGTCAGAAAAACGGCGGTTAATGTTGGCAATTTCCAGGGTCTAATTTCTTGTTCGCTTCCTGGCGCTGCAGAAATCAGTTGGGAGTTGCACTTTTTTGCCAATCACACGTCTATCGCGTGTGATTGCGCCGTTGCTGCTTTTATGGGAAACCAGTGAATTTGGCCACCCAAATAATCGCATAAATAACTATTTACCGAGCTTTCCACTTTGACTGAGCTCCACACCGTTAATGTGTGCAGCAAAACAGCACTTGCCGCGCCGGCCTAAATGCGCACCGACAACGAAAACACGCGAAAACCCGTCTTTCATAATGCCAATTTTCATTAGGTAAAATTATTTATGAAGGAGAACACAAAGACTAAAATTTTAAACTGCTGGCTGGATCCGGCCATCCCAAAATTCGTGGCATGTTTACCAAGGGTATTTAGAGGCTTTGCACACACTTCGAATTTTTGCCCTTTCTACTAGTGTTTTAGTGTTCCGGCACACATTTAGCGTTGTGCTGCTCCGACCGTGAGTCTCATTTGAACATGAAAAGGAATTGCGAAAATATTACAATAGGTCGTCTACTAAGATGTAAAAGTAGGTATTCCATTTACCGAACGGGAATGTATTTCACGTTAAAACTCCTCATTTGCTCTGTTTCAGAAAAATAAAGTTGTTTTAGTTGAGAGGGCAAGTCGTGTGGCCTTGAAGTGAATTTGTGTTGAGTGGAGGGGAGTGAAAGTGGTCTAAGTGGTGTTGGCAAATACCGACACGCACATGTTGATGCAGAAACTGTGTAGACGGTTTCGGGCAGAGTTCCTCTGGGGATGCTAGTGAAAGAGTTTTCCGGCGAAAGCATCCATTTCAAAGGTATCATAGTATACTTGTTCATGAGCCAAGCGAGTTATTTTGATGAATATTGAAGATTTCGGTTATGCAACAAATGAAGCCGAAAATTGTGGTACAAGGCATTTGCCGTTTGATCAAAATAGTACCCTTACGTGTCCACAAAATAAATCCAATCAATAAATTTTAATCAATCAATATACGTTGGTCTCACGTGCTCCGCGAATACGTAGGAGGAGCTATCGATTTTTTACAATAGCTCTGTAGATTTTGGAACATATTATCTCGTCTATAATAAATACCTTAATTTAAACCTTCCACATATTTAGTGGTGAGTCCGACCACGTCCACAACGTGGCGCTAATGCCAGTTGCACGCACAAGCACGCGTCGTTTTCTAAATGGATCGTTAGCCAACCAATGGTTTTCGAGGTCTGAAACGCTTGTGATGTGATTGGCTAGGCCTCCCTCTCGCCTTAGTAATAAGCCATTAGGTCTGATTAATGCTGAATTGGCTCAGGGTTAATTAATTTGATGACCTTACATTACTATTCGTCAACACCAGTAAGTTGCGGTTAAACTTAAGTACACACATCTAGAGTCACTTTAACCGACTGTCATATATATTTTTGGTTGCAGCAAATGTCGACTGCTTTCAGTATTAAAACGCTCCTGGATCACTCCGAATCATCGCGATCGACAAGTCCAAATTCATTCGTGGACTCGCATTCTGAACGCTCAAAAATCGACTCACGCGAAATTAAACCGTTGGACTTGATAACACATTCTGGTGAGTGCAAGAAATGTGATGTGCGTCCTAGTGTCTCGTTCGCACAATGTCTTTCTATGGACTGAAGTGAAACAAGCCATAGCTTTGGTTTACTTAAATTACGCTAAAGACCGTCAATTCAAGGCAACGCCTGGATTGTTTTCTATGAAAAACTGAAATAACCAAATGATTGCATTCAAAACAGTAGGGGAATTATTGCTGTTGATATGCCGCCACGTATCCAAAAGCACGTGATCCTACTTAATAAAGCTTATGATGTCGATGATGTACTGATATTTCAGAAATTGCATGTGACAAAATGGGCCTGAATATCGGGTCACCAGCAGCACTTCTAAGTTCTTTTACTACATCTACCTCACCTTCGCGCCAATGCGATGCCTCACCACAGTTGATGTCACTTCGACGGAACACCAACGAACAACACGCGAACATTCCTCTGGCCTACCTCAACTACCTGCACTTCATCCATCAACGTGACACAACTCCAACTTCCAATTCTCATTACTCCGATGCACAGCCAGAACTTCACATTCCATCCTGCCACGACAACTCTCTCCCCACCCTTCTCCAACGCGTCCACCCCACTCCCAGCTACCTCCGATGCACTCGACCTCGACGCTCTAGGACCACCTTCAGCACCCACCAGCTGCGTGTGCTTGAAACCGCCTTCAACACCAATCACTATCCCGATGTGTCCGTGAGGGTCCGACTGGCCACTCAACTGGACCTCACGGATGGCCGCGTACAGGTTCGTGTGTGTGTGTTTACGTCTTTGTGTGTGCTCAGCTTGTTTTCTTGGCACTCACACACATGAAATGTGCCACGTAGCAGAAACTTCCTTTTTTTGGGGTCTTAAGTTACTTGCATAATCCCGACTTAGTTAAGGTAGACAGCTCATGTAAGCGACATCCCTTGATTGAAAAAGAATACGCAATCAGCATTTCTGCTCACCAGAACTTCAAAATACTTCACCTGCTCCACTCCTCGAACAGCAACCAATCCATGATAATCCAAAGCTACTTCTGTACAATGAGATCTAATGAAATTAACCATCATAACTACGATTTAGTCAAGCAAAACTCCGCGTTGACAAGTCAGATTATCAAGTTAGTGAATAGAGAAGAGTGTGTTCTCCAAAAATTCGATTGTTTGGAGTGACTGGAAGTTAGACCTAAGGAAATGGGGCGCAGTTGCAGTGGGCCTGGAATATTGCTGTCTCTCGACTGTTCAAATGGTCCATATTTGAGTAGGTTTTATTATCTAATAAACCAAGCGTGATCAAGTTTAATTCCCCTTCGTCGCTAACGCAACCGTCTTTGGTCTTATGGCAGCAAGTTCTCCATGAATTGCCTAGTAAATAACCAAATTCTTCTTAACTTGCAGCATTTTTGAAGGCATTAACAGAAATAACTAAGCTACTGTAAAGCAAAACCCCATTTAATTGAAACAGAATGAATCTGTATGGTAGGCAACAGTGTTGATTGGGCATTCTAACTAGGGTCATTTGTCAATCTGTGTATGTAGTGGTTTCTCGGTAATACGCTTCTCAAGATTGTGCCATCTCGGTTACATTATGCTGTCTTGATGTGTGGTTTTTGAATCAATCAGTGTTAATTTACTGAGCTACTCTCGTAGCCTTCTTTCTGCCACTTTTCTTGACTGCAAAAGTTGTCACTCGGTTTTATCAGAGCCAAAACGTGAATTGATGATGGTAGTATTGGTGCTTTTTGTGCTCTTTTTCCTTGGCTCGCACTCGAAGATTCGTTGATTTATGATTTTCTGAAATTTTGCTACGCTGATATGCATAAGACTGTGCTGCTTTATTTCCAAGACCAACAAATGCCTTATTTTGGTAAATACAATTAAACAACTTTCTCTAAGTATCGGTAATAAATGATCTCACTTTCATAAATAATTAATACGTCAGGAAACGTGAGTATAATTGGACTGAGTTTGGATATGTAAGTAGATAAGATATACAGCAATGAGTTAATGAAATTATTCACCTCCAACGCACAACCACGTCCCACAATCCACCTTGCAGCCGCATGATAGACACTTCGTGCTTCGCCAAGGTTGAATTGTGATTAAGTTAGCTACAGTCCCATGTGAAATCGAAAGTTATGCACTCCAATTAGCCGTGGACCTTCGACAAAGCACGAGGATCGGTCGTGGGAGAGGCAAACACGAATGGGATGTTTTCTGGTATCGATAAGTGAAAGAGCACAACATGCCGCTCGAATGCCTTGTTTAGGGGAAAAAATGTCCACCACGGATTCTTCATGCGTATGCAATCCAGCAAATTGTGACTCCAAACACCAGGAACGGCCACTTGTCGCTGGTAAGGAGATGCTGGTTCCCACAGAACAAACTCCACTTTAGGTAATTATAGTGAACTGCCCTAAGATCCGTAGTTGTGAAATAAATCCATCCTATCCCTTGGAATTCTTCAGTAACCATGGGTGGACCTTACTTCAACTCGTGGCTCAGGGTCAATCATTAACAGTGAAGCGGCAGATGTGTGGTGCAAGTTTAATTACTACCGCGTGGCCCCATTTTTCAAGTGACGCGGTAACGTCAAGTGGGATGCCTACTTGTGGCGATAATGCCTGGCCACGTAGTTTGCTAATCGCCGGGGCAGGAGTGGAAGGGGCACAGGGAGCGGGGTCTGCTGGACGCTTAACTTGGATTTATGACCTAGCAACAACAGACTTCCTGAATCTCCACTCGAGGATCACCTATCATTGACACTTAACTCGATGCAATTAAGTCATTAAGTGGTAATTAGAAGTGCTAGAGCTTACGGATTAGTTCTGGCAAATCAGTCACGACTGGATGAGTTTGGGTTGAGGCAAATTAGACTAAATCTCACATCTCACTCTAAAGTCACATAGCATTTCGCTTATTTACCTATCTCCTCTCATTGGTGTCAAAATCGATATTTCTTAAAAGGTCACTTTCTGGTTAGGATTTATTCCCTTGGAATTTGTATTGGCGGACTAATTAACATACAAAGTTGCTACTGAAAGGAGCAAGGTACACCCCTACATATGAACTATGTATAGCATGTATAAAAATACCCCAGTAACTGCACGTTATGTCTCATGAAGCAGCCAACGTCTGTGTAGAACGACTTTCTCAATTTCGCATTACGGCCCGTTTTCCACTTCCCAAAAACTAGACAGTTCACACCGTCCACTGTTTACAAAAAGGTTTTAGCCTAAAGCGAGTAAATATTTGTAATTGATGTCAAACTAAAGTTTACGCGAGAGTCGGTCCAGCAGTGTAGGGGATTTTATTAACTTTCAACGTTCCCTTCGAAGTAGTGAATAGCTGCAAAGGTTGACTAATTTACCCCCCTGTTTAGCGAAAGTCACGCATGAGGTCGAGGATTAGCAGGATCGTAGAGATGGTTCCCAGGCGCCCTGCTGTGAAGCCTGGTTGACGCGGGGAGAGCGGGTCACATTAGCCCCCTTCAGTCAGCCCCCTCCAGTGCCATGGTAACATTCACAAGGAAGGTATTCCATGAGCCACCCATATTGGCTTCTAATTAATCCCTGTCTGTTCCTGCTTGGACTCGGCTAACAAGGCCTTTTAGATAACCGTATCCTAGACATAAGCAGTGGCCTTTTGAAAGAGTGCATGCTTGTACCATCGGCACAGCGTAAATGCACGTGTTACATTCATTACCACGCCAAGTATCCATTTAGGGCTATCCTTGTTTCAGCTAGTACCATCTTCGAAGTCCTTTCTGTTGTCAGACTGACGGTTTTAGAAGGAGAAAATAACGCGTCCACTGCCAACTTGATGAGTGCGTTTGCAAATGCAGGAGGTTCCGATTGTTCAGGAAAAATGAAGTCCATCCTTCATGTTCGCTGATAATCAACCGCATTGTCACTTGCGCCAGCATCGAGCAAAGCCACTAAGCTGCACTTTTCTTTTACTCTTTCACATTCGCCATCGAATCCATAAGTTAGTTGTCTGAACTGGTAATTCCTCTTTCCCCGTAGGTTTGGTTTCAGAACCGACGCGCAAAGTATCGTAAATACGAAAAAAACCGCCAATTCAGCCACCACGCAAACCACCTACCAACATTTCCCACTTATCATTCCCCGAACTCACGAGACGTCGAAGGCCAGGATGTCCATCCAATGCTACAGTCACCAAACCTGCTACCCCTGAGGGAAACAGGGAACGATCCCATTTCCTGAGAGGCCTCCTAAGCCTTGAGTGTCGTGACTGGGAAATAAGCTCAGCGAGATTTTCACTATCTTTTGTAATACTTTCTTATATATTGTTATAAATCATATTCACTCACCTTGCCCCATTTAGTTAAGCAGCTTAATTCGCTTCATTGGATCAAATTAATGACAGTCAATTATGGTTTGCGTGGATTTCACCCCCCTGCAATCGAATCGTGACTGTTAATGAATCACTTTCTATGACTGACTGCACGGGTTAAGTGAGGCATATGCAGGTCATACATTATCCCGATTAATGTTCGCCTCTGCCCCACACTTTTCCAGTCCATATCAGTCACCTGTGGCAAGTGTTTCCGCGTCGAATTTGTCAAATCTATTAATCATCATGGTAGTTGTTGCCAGGTCATCACGATTGACGTGTTTATAACTTTGAATCTGAACAGGACGGGGGGGGAGTCAGTGACGCGTAACCGATGTGACGGAAGTGGAGTTCCATTTCACATAATGCGTGACCTTAGTGGATCTTGGAGCCACTGAAACATCTGAAGTTAGGAATTTTCGCGAACCACAAGAGTCAAGTCCTAACTTGCAAAAGCCTAAGTTTTCAAATAAGCCAGTTAATAGTCGGCACATCTGAGACTTCGTTTCATGCCAAAGGGAATGTATTATTTGACTTTAGCAAAACTGATTGTCCGAGTATCAACATTACCATTATTTATTACTTATGCTGCAGCCATTATGTTCAAACCTTAGTAGAAACGAGTAGATTAGGACCATCTTGGATGGTAAATTGTAAGCACTGCCACCCAGCCAATCGAATTACGAGAAAACACACATTTATCAATCCAAAATACATGATAATCTGACAGGTTTATGGTGGAATTCGGCCACTATGAACTCCTGTAGTGAAATAAACCGCATTCACGATGATTAACTTCAGCCGATCGCACTGTGCAAAAGTTTCTGTCCGGTGACCCGACATCATGAGCCCTATTTAGTAGAATCACGTGCTTTTGGATACGTGGCGGTATATCAGCCGCGAAAATTCCCCCGGCTGTTTTGAATGCAATCATTTCGTTATTTCAGATTTTCATAAAAAACAACCGAATCAAATCATGAATAAACGACCATTTTACGGCATTTAATTAAACCGAAGCTGTGAGTTTGCCTCCTGCTTGGTTTATTTAACTTCGTTCAATGAAACAGATATTGTACGAAGAAGCTACAACGACAACACAGTTAAGACCTCGAGTAAATGACTACCAAGCACAGAAAACTGGTGTGCGTTGAAGGTGGGGCTAGAACGTCGAGGTCCTGTGGATAGGAGGTAGCAGGGAGCGTGATGGACGCTTCGGAGTAGAGGGGAGAAAGTGTTGTCTTGATAGAGGATTGGCGCAGTAAGCATGGGCTTATAGGGTGGTGTCTCGTTGATGAATAAAGTGCAGGTTGTTGAGGTAAGCCAGTGAAATATTGATGTGTTGATCGATGCGTTGAAGTGGTGTTCACTATGGCGGGACGTCGCATTGACGGGGAAGTGAGAGATACAATTTGTCAAACCTCATATTGGACCTCACCAACCTGGTGCTTAGACGAGGTGTCCCATCTAGGTGACCTTTTTAGCAGATCCATTAGTGACATTTGAAGCTGACCTAAAATTTTGACTTATGCAACCTGCTTTGTTTGGGAGGATATATTTTTAGGGAAACTTCAACTGTTTAACTCAAAACACCACATCGATGTAGTCTGTACTGTCCAATTTGACCTGTTCTACATGTAGGTAGATTTACATCCGCTGACAGCGAATCGATAAAGTATATTTCTCCCTTAATTCTGCTCACTGCCAGCAATATTGTAGCCCGGTGGATGTGAAATAGCAGCGTCATACAAAGTGCGCTTGTGTCAGCGGAATGTAAATTATCTCTAATCCTAGTAGGATTACCAGCCAAACTATAATCACCGGAAGCAAAATCACCATTGGCAATTATCTTAATCTAGGTGGAGGAGGCTTAGGGTGCCATCTCGTTAGCTTCACTTTACCAAAGCATGGGGAAGGAAGAGGCAGCCGCCCACCTAACCGTGGACGGTGGTTTCGTCTGGAGCAAATTTGTCGAGTACAAAGACCGCCTCAACTCGTACCGACATCTTGGGTGGATCATCCTTCTGGCGTCTGCAGTAAATGTCATTCTCATTGGTGGAAAGCGACGTGCCTTTGGGATTTTCGTGACAGCTCTCCATAACGATTTTACAAACACTTCAATGACTGAGCTGAATTGGATCGGTGACAGTTACGCCGCTGTGGGTTTTTTCCTTATGCCGTTTATGACTACGCTAATAGTCCATGCAGGTCGCGCCTACCGTGTCTCCATGGTGGCTGCTGGAGCTTTCATATTTGTGAGTTGTTTCACTTCAGCGGCTGTCCCTTCACCGGGATACCTGTTTGTCACTCATACACTACTTCATGGCATCGGTTCCACACTCATTCTCTGCACAACCGCCCTCATAACAGGAGAGTACTTCGATAAGACCCATCGTTTCCATGTGCTAGCAACCGCGTTTGTGTCCGGCGGACCCTATGGCGTTCTCATATTTGGCCCTCTTTTCTCCTTATGGATACATGAGTATGGATGGAGAGTAGCTTTTGAAATATGCGGTGTGGTTTTCCTCGGATTCAACCTCCTGGCTGCCATCTTCTTTCAACCCAAGCAAAGCGACCACTACGAAGAAATGAAACACGATGCCGAATCTGACTCCCTAGAACCCGTAGAGCACACCGCCTCCAGTGGTCGGGGCTGGGCAGTAATTTCTCTGTCTCATTTGAAGGAAAATGCGCAAATTGTCCTGTGGGCCCTTGAGCGGTTGATCCACAACTTCGTCATGTATGGTCTTCTCATGAATATGACAACGTACGTCACTGAGGCTATGGAAAACGAGATCCAAGAGGGTTCAAAAGTTAATTTATACTTTGGAATTGGTGAATCAATTGTCTTCACTGTAGGGGCTTTAATCGGAGACAAGATACGAGGACGTCTACCAATTTTCTACATGGTCGGAGCAGCTATTGCTGCCATAATTCTTCTGGTCATGCAGAGCCTTTACAAGGACGTAACCACAGTGCTTGTACTGGCTGGATTCCTAGGAGCCGCAGTTGGAACTGGTAATACATTCCTCTACGCTACCTCTGAAGAAGTAATGCTAATTCATGGTTCAGTTGCCTTTCCCATGACTAAATCAATCGCTGGAGTAGGCATGCTTCTAGCTCCTTTCTTATCAGGAACGGTAATTGACATGTTCTCCTTCCGTGGATTCTTCATATCCATGGCGGTCTTGGTTTGTTTTCGAGTGCTACTCTTCATTGCCATTTGCATCATTTTGTGGAGGAAGAAGATTCAAAGAAGTCAGAGGCGCCTTGCGGAAGGAACGAAACTTCATCCGCCAGTTACTGCCAAAGCCGAGGGCCCACTGTATCCCTGCGAGGAGTCCGAGCACGTTCACGCCGAAGTGGAGCAGCAGTAGCTGCAAGCCCCCAAGTAGTCGACGTTGACGTTAGCTGATGTTACCAGTTTAGTCTCACCTTGGCTCTGCTTACTTTCACTGCTTCTGCTTTTCTTCTTCTCTTGTTTAGAGACTTAGTGTTTTTTGAGACAGAATATAGAGGTTATAAATTAATTGGTTTTTATTCACGTCAATGATTAATCAAAGCTCAATGGGGTTAAGTTAATCTACCGTAGTTTAATTGTTTTCAGTTTAAACACTTTAATGTTTGATACGCACAAATTCTTGAAGTAATTTTCGAGTTTGTCAGGTAAAACAGCGTGAGAAAATGGACAAAACTGCACGAGTGGGGCAATTGGGTCTTCCAAACACAGCACGCATTTGAATTGTGATCTCTTGCTGGGAGGGTCTCTTCACAAACCATCCCACATCGCTGGTCTTGATTTGTCTCTTGTATTGATCCTGATTCTTTCTGATGGCTGCATATAATTTGCTCGCGCAGCGACCGATGATTCCCCTGAACGCAATTTAATGTGTACAAAACGAGTAGCCTTCGTATTTACGGCGAATGTTTACTGTTTAACACTTTCTATTTACTCTGTTTATTGCCGGAATACTTAAGTTGCAGAAAAACGCGTATAAATTGTCGAACGATCCGAATCGATTTCCCTTCTGTGTTTATTCGTCTTAGTGACTAAGCTGTTGTGAGCGTTAGTTGCTTACAGTTATTTGTCTGAGGTTTCCGATGATGGCGCGTGTCACGTCATGAGTAAAACACTGGAACCCGAATGCACCATTTTGATGTCTGTACTTTCTGGCTTATTACCTGCGAGCGGGATTCAGTTGGGCATCTTCTTCACCACCACCACCACCACCACCACCACTTTTGTTCAATGCCATTTTTATTCCTCGGCATTGAGTTTTGATCGCTTAAACTAACCACGTCGAATAACCAACGCTTAAAAATTAATCAAGTGTCTTTTGAGAGGTTTCACACGTAACGTTTACAGACGGAAATGGAATAATTCAGATGGCTGCATATTCCTTCGTAAAAACGGGGAAGGGCAATGCACTTCTTGGAACATCGATCTACTTGCTTTGTTGGCATTTTGCACGCTTTCAAACTTTATTAACTGGTATTTCGAGGTAACATTGAAACAACTGACAGAACAAAGCGAGAAAAGCCAGCGAAATCGACTTCTGCCTCACACAGCTGTCACTAATTAAACTGCGTCAAAAGTCGAGTCTGGAAGGCTTGCTGACACGAGGGGCATCCCAAGTTAGGCACAGTTAACTGCACGCATCTACACAACGGAAGGTTTATAAGACGAAGCCACAGTGGATCTCTCAGAGGGTTGAATGTCCGTAGTCATCTCCACGGAGTCGTCGCTAGCGGAGTTCCCAGATGTTCGCTCCTTGTAGAGGCACCGGAAAGTAGCCCAGTTGCGAGCTGACCGCTTAATCAACCGTAGCAGGCGTTTCGGAGTCCAGTGAGACTTCTTCCAGTATCTTCTCCCACTTTGTGGATACTTGGCTTTCACCTGACTGTAGACAGCATCGAAAAGCGAGACGAGGGCCATGAATTTGAGGGCTTCCTCTTTCGATACATTTCTCAGATCAACGTCAATAAACTGGCCATGAAGTTTCTGTGCAAGCAAGGCAAAAGTAGGTGCACTCACGACTTTATGTGCATGCACACCGACAAACAGACTGTTTGGCAGTTTGTATTTCAGACAAATACTTATCTGATATTTAAAGGAGAGGAAAAGATTGTGTTTCGGACAAGACAAAATTATCTGCAAAATTACCCGCTATTTGCTGAAATCTCTGCACGACCTATCAGTATATCGAATTTAAGTTATTGTCTATGCTTCAGTCTCCGGCTGGCCATCCAAACGGACGTTTAGTAAAAAGAAGGGGACACAGCAATACTTTGAGGCATCTAATGCCTGGTCTTCTACAGTAGGAACGCAACGTCGTTCAAACTAGCTGCACACCAATACTGGGTGCTGTTAATGAAGGAGCTAAGGCAGAAGAAGAGGAAGAAGAACTTACCCGCAGTGTTTTCTTCCTACAGCCCATGTACTTGAGTTCATTAGCGATTTGCACTGGGCGTTTATGACGAAAGTAGCCCTCCAGCATCACAAAGGTCACAATCAGGATGAGGCTGATTACCACGAAGAACGTGGAGTATATCCTCATGACTTCGTCTGTGTTAATTTCCACGAACTTCGTTGAATCGTAATCGGGTCCTTAAGAAGAAACGCAAGTATTGAGTCGAAAGCAATCCCTGCTCTGAATGCATGACATCACGAATAACAGAATGGTCTGCAAATTCAACTTGACATTAACTCTACTCCTCATGGGACAACTTGTCACGCTCGGTTCTCGCCTCATGGTCTTTAAATTGTTCCAAGTGCTTTTCCACCGCATTATCTTCAAGAACCTCGTGGTAGCTACACATCCAGTTCTCTTTGCGCTTTTGCATTCTTCATGTTTTCACCCACTAGTTGAGCCAAGAAAAGGCATCTTTAGTGCTTTTGGCTTTTTAGAAGCCATTGGTGTACACAGCTTTCGAAAGTCGTTTTTTTGCAATGTTGGTCTGACTTGCACCATTCAAGGACTGGATCTACAAATTCAGGAATCGGTCAGTCTCGTTTTAGCATTTTGCATGAAACACGCGATTTTTACCGAAAGGCAAGTAAATTTCTCTTTGACTTTACATCACGTCGCCGTCGTCGTCGTCGTAGTGGGTGGTGGTGGTTTGAATCCAGAAGAATGCTCTACTCACCTGTATAGGCAACATCAAACGTGGCTTCGTAGGCAAATGCAGCAAGACGATGAACTCCGTTGACTAGACACGTGATGTTGTAAGCTCCGTAGCAGGATTGGCTACTGAAGACGTAGAGGCCATTTGGGCCGATAACGATGTCAGCATTTTCATCTTTCGTCCAGGGAATGATTGCGCGTCCTCTGGACGGATAATCCCTAGTCCAACAGTGGATGGGCTCATCGCCGAAGTAAGATGACGCTTCCAACAGTGGGTAACCTGGGGCTTCTACGACAGGAAGGAAAGCAAAAATAAAAGATATGATTGGGTGATTTAAGCGTAGAAGTGGACTAGCGGTTAAACTGCATGTTATCAGATTAGCGGTTTATTTGTTAAAGCTTAAGATCAACTATTTCTGGTATTGCGTCCTGCTTTGTGCAGCCTTCGATTCAAGATATTTCCTCATGTCAAAAATGGCAAGCCCGTCCGTTTTCTGATGATAAAATGGGACCAGATGTCATCGTTGGTGAATGTTGTTGTGCCAGCATGAAATGCACCCAAACGACTCATGAATATCGCCCACAGGTCATGAGCAAATGGCTCAACGGTTTGTCTAACGTCTCATATCGACAACCTCAATAACTGTCATATTTGCGTACCATTAGTATGGAAAGAGGCAATGCTGTGGACACGTTATCCCTCGCTTTTATTTAAAAGTGTGCAATTCCAGTTAACTTTACATCAATTTTCTTATCACCTAGGAATTAAGCAAACGCAAAATGCATTCGAAAATTTGATGGTATTACGAAGTAATCCAGATTACGAAAAAGATGGTGAAGCTTAAAATCGAAATCTCGCATACAAGGACCCCTGCTCCGTGTTCTCAGATATTTACTACAGCCTACAACGTGACAGCTACCTGACATACTTACTTCAACGCGGACCAAATTCGCGACCTGTAGCTAGTAGTTTTGGAGAGGGTATGAAATCAAGTGGCATTTCCTAAGAGTCGTACCCAAATAAACAACCTCCCTGATGGTTGCCCAAAGAGGCCCCTCGTCGTTTGAGAGGACGCACGTGAAGAAGTAGCGCCCCCCAACTACCCCCGCCGGTTCGAACGAGAAAAACGCCGAATTCTCCTGACGCTGGCGGAGGCCCTGAGGGAAGATGAAGAGGTTCAACGTGACCTTCTCACCCATCTTCGGGATCCCGGCGAAGTCGCAGTGCGCTATTGTCGAGGAGTTCACGAAAGTGATGCCCCTCGGCTCCAGCTCTATCAACTCTTGTGCTGAAACAAACGACAGCAAAGGCCTGACGGGAAAACCACCTTGGCACTCTGACGGCTAGTTCACTTAACGGAAGATTTCTCTTGGCAATCCACAAATAATTGCATGGCGTCGTAGGCTAGGTACCAGGTTCCACGGGCTAGTCCAAACAAATTCCCGATATTTTCGATCTTACACACGATAAAATTCAAACCAAATTACCACTTACCACCACCACAGCAAAGTAGTTTATTTAGCCGGATGGAAGGGTCTGCCACTAGGGCAATGACAGCAGAGACGCAGACTTTTCGCCGAGGCTCTTTGCATTACGCAGAAAGTTGCGATAATTAAAAGCTATTAAATGCGTCAAGACCTACATTAAGGTAGCTGTTGAAGCGAGGTCGAATTCATGTAACGGAATAGAGGATTACCTGGTGCCAGACTTACGTCGAACAAGGGCTGAGAAAGCGATGGTTTGATGTTCGAAATTCCGGGTTAGATAGGTCTCCCTAGCAGTGCAGACCACGGTAACTTCAGCAACAAACGACGAGATGACTGTGATTTGGCCCTTTTGCCTACTAACAAGAGGGGTTTTGGTGCCCTTGTGGAAGATATCGAGCATGAGGTAGCCGGACCCGGCATTCTCGTCTTTGAAACACTCGATCACCTCTCCGCTGATGTACTCGCGTTTCGCTGGCACGATTTTGGGCACCGAATTCGGATCTGCAGTGGAAAATTCAAATTCAACGTCAAGCTAAAATCCACAAAGTAGGTAGCACTTTTTGCTTGGTAAATAACCTTCAAATGCAAGAATGCAATTAAACGTGGCACTATCATTACGGTAAATGTTCATTTCTGCAACACGTTTGCTGTCGCTAATGCAAATGTTTGTCTTCTTAGACAAGGGATCGTGCGTGAGCCCTTAAAGCGCGCTTGTTCATTCACTCCGGTAGCTTAGCGATTATGTGGCCAAGTGATACAAGTGGAAACAAACAATCCTCGACAAAGCTTACTTAAGTAGGTCACGACGAAAATTTTTGTCAGATATAGTTCTAGGTCATCAAATATGCAAATGTAGGTTCCATGAGTTGAATTGGAGCCCGATTCATTGTGGTAGAGCCTGTTGCCCTCGACTTTGGCGAAAGCAAATTCCTGAACGACGTGGAAGTAGGGTTCGCTGACTCCGTACAAAGGAGGGTCCACTTCACAGACGACTTCGGGAAAATGATCCGTCATGACAACGAAAGGATGTGATAGTTTCAGCCTCAGGTACTTCTTGTCTGGTATTGAAGAAAACAGTTTGCAGGAGTAGACAAGACACAACACGAAGAAATATTGACCGCAGTCATTATTTGGGCTATCCATTGTTAAATTTGGTCAGTCATTATCTGAACTCTCATCCACAAGAACCGACCTTCTTAATGCAGGACAATTTACCTTAAATAAGCCATTAAAAACGCCTTTCCAATTAAATTTGTGACCGAAACCACAAAACATACTAAGCGAAGGCTACGAGTCAACGACACACACCTATAATGAGAATGGAGGTGCTGAATTCCTCATCAAGGTCCTCCAGCTTCAGTGAACAGGTTATGAATCGTCTGGTTCCATGGCCATCTGGTTCCTCGTGGAAGGAGTGAGTGGGATTAAATGACGCTATTTCATTCATCCACGCATCTGTCCAAGTGCAGTTTGGCATGCCTTCATTGGGGAAGTAGGTTGTCTTTTGAACATCCGTAATACTGAGTTTCGCCGTCTTGTCTAGTTAAAAGGAGACGAGTTAGTTGTTTAGAGGGGAAATGCCACTGGCGTAAATCGATAACTCTGGGATCGGGATAAATGCAGGCCAAAATTTGAAAATCTCCGTGGAGATGAAATTAATACTCGGATCATAACTCGGTGTGGGGAGCATAAACCAGTGACAGAATTTGTACAATGCAAAAGACTGTAATGCCTGGTGCAGCCCAAAGTGATCGGATGCGAATTTCAGCAGGAGACAGGCAGCAAGCCGGTTAGCAAAATGGACTCAAAGAGGAAACGAATCATCCTACTTGTCAAAAAAATTGTGATTTTACTTTCATTAAGGATTTCAATGTCAATTTCTGACTTCGTCGATTCGGCTATGATCTTGCGTTAAAGTTGATTAATTTTCACCATCCACATCTCGCTTGAGACAACACTACGAGTGACCCCAACGTGACAAATGATTCAAACTGCTGTCAGCTGATTGGTCCATGAACCCTGATTTAATAGGCTAGTTATTATCAGTTGTCATAGTTATGGGTAGGTCAATAAGAGTTCCCTTTTCAAAGATTTTAGGCGATCACCAACAATTAGACATGGTCGAGGGCCAAGGACTTACTGACTACGTAGAATAACTTCGTAATTGGACTATCGAGATAATTAGACAGGCAGGAACTCTGGTACCTTCCAGGCGATAATCGATCGATGTGGAGTTCTGATTCGTTATGGATTTTGGACAGACCATCAAAGGTCCAGTAGTTTTTGGGCTGAAGTATTTGCGATACTGTTACAGGTGTTAGTGCACACATGAAGGAATCCACTGTGCCATGCATGTAAATCTGCTTTTCCGATTGCGGCACAATTCGAAGTGCAATGTTGTTGACACCTGAGAATAGAGACAAGCGTCTACGGTGTCATATTGTGTGTGATTAAAATCGGGAAAAACAGCAACCACAGCGCGCTGTCCTATGCACACTAGGGGCTGGTTGTGCAGACAATGGTCGCTAAGAATTGGCCTTAATGTCACTAAGTGTAATGATCAGCAGCTCATGGCGTAACAGTGTGCAGGTTTAGTGTCTGTTATAGAGCTTGAATATTTCCAAAACCTGAAGGTGTGGATTTCTAGATGTCACGAGATTTCACTGGAGTATCTCTGATACATCCTTGGGTTCTTCTGGTACTGGTTCTACTTTTATGAAATGCACAGCTTGTGTCTTACCAATTAATCGAAACCTGGCTTCTATGCTTTTCTCTAATTCGGGAATAGTCGACCTGCATTCCATGATTCCTTCAAAAATGCCGTTGCGAATGCTCCCTGACTGAATCATCGTGGGACGCAGCTCAGGTTCAGTATTCATCCACTTGTGCGTCCACGCGCATTCGGGCAACTTGTCTGATCGCTTATATCTGTTCTGAGCCACCGGAGAAAACTGAACCATTGTCGAGTTCATTCCTACAAGATGTCGCACACAAATTCGCCTTTTGATTGTCCAAGGGACGCAAAAGAGGGCATGGCTTGGCACTCCACATTGATTTTCAACTCACGGAAACCATAAGTGGGTGGATATTGCGTCCGTCTGAACCCACTTACAAAGGCATGAGTAGGTGAACGTGAACAGGGGTGCGACGACCCACACATGCCTTCCGTAAAAGTAGGTTTCTCGTAGACGCCTACCTTATAACTACTCGGAACATCAGCGTTACACACCAAGCCTAGTGTAAGTAAGTAGTGTGATCAGGGTTGATGAGACCAATTTTCTCATCCCCTTCTAGCCGAGACTGCGTACTTTTCTGTTGTCTTCTGTAACGACCTAATAGAGGTAGTATTTCCACAATGGACCAATGCTTATATGACATTTTGAGGGAAATTATGCTGATTCGACGCTGGTGAAAGGTTTTCCATGGTAAAATAACATTCACGGACCCCCTTCCAATGCTCACACGATGCTTTGTCGCACCTATTTAGCTTGCACGTGGTTGAAATAAACTCTTGATTCATCAAATAGTCAGAGATACTGCTACTCACGAATGATGTAGAACGTAAAGTTGAAAGGCGATGCACTGGCGTTTGGTGATTTGCAGACCAAGTGATGAGCTCCCTCCTCGTAACTGTCGGCCTCCACGTATTCGACGTACTCATTCGTTTCCGCATTGTGCCAGCCCCAGGTGAAGTTGTGCACTTGCGCTGCTTCAGGAGGCGAAACCATGCAGTAGATTTTGTGGCCCTTTCCATAGATGTTGTAGAACTTTGATGCGTTTGTGTAAAACTCGAGTTTTGAAAGATCTAAATGCCACGAAAGGCGTCAAATGCCAGGCATCAGAGTACATTTACCGCCAACTAATGTTCTTTCAATCATTCTGTCTGCATCAATTCAGTATTTACCTGTTGGCCAGTTTTGCAGTTGGGGTAGCAACAAAATGTCAAATTCCCGTGTCCCCTTAGAACGTCTTTCTAGTTGTTTTAAATCAAATTGCACCCTTGATGTTTACTGACTACTAATAGCTTTAGTCACTTTAGTGCTTGGATATGCTATTCTTTAATTGAATGGAAACATTTTGTGGGCTTGTCCTGGCGGGCTTGAGTTGGCTGCCTCATGACGGGCTAAGTGAGATCACTTTCACGTGTAGGCGAAGTGATTAAGCACAACTAATGTGCGTCTTATTCCACCACCACCACTACTACTATTATTGCTGTTGTTTCAAAAAGGGCATCAACAAAATGGCGATTCGAAAGATGGACAGAATCGTCCAGCAAGTGTCGGTCATAACTGGGTCGTCGTCGTCGTCTGCTGATCCGACGCAATTGTCAACGCCCACCATGACACCATTTATTCAAGTGTTGACTTCTGCGTTAAATCCATGCGCAAACATGCCGCCATGTGAGGGATTATGACTTGACTTACCGATACGCATGTGTATATGTATATGGATTGATTGACTTACCAACCACATTCAATTCCAACCTTTTTTTTGTTTTTCGAATGTCGAATTTGCAAGTGTAATTACGACGGAGGTCCTCCTCCTTGCTAATTATGAGCTGATTGTTGATGGAGTTGGCGGCGACTTTGCCGGATTTGGTGTGCACCCATCGGAAGTGGGTGATGAAGTCATTTGTTAGGGCATCCTTGCCCAACGAGCAGTTTATCACACCAGTCCACGTCGACGAGTAATATTTGGAGAGGTTTTTGAAAGACAAGATCAAATCGGAGGGTTCTGGCAAGAAATCATAAAACACGTTGCACAACCAAGTCAAAGACGCGTCCTGTCATTAATGTGGGGATTCCCCAAGAGATGAGACTAGTCCTTAAATGCCATTGAACAGTGACGCTCTCCAAGCGGGGACGACAGCAAGGAGGTGAGCTTGGAAGGCTTTAATCAGCTGCGTTTCATTACAGCAGGTAGCTGATTACAAAAGAAATTTAAAAAAACACCACCATAGTTAATGCGATTCTGATAATACCCTAGCAGTCTCCGGTCAAACCGTGGTTAACATGAGTTCTGTATTACGCATCAGCAATTTGACTGACGATCGCTTCTCATTAGGTTGACAAATGACCTACCCACAATCCAGGCTCTTTCAGGCTTCTTCATGACCTCAACACCGGCCATTAGAATGACGGCTTCGAAGCTGATATTTCCGGTTCTTCTAACTTTGCCCAGATTTATTTCATCCCGTGGAGAACCCGACTCATTTCGACCGACTGTTCCCACCTTACAAATGGTCCCTTGATTCCCCAAATCCAGGTACTCCTCGTCGGCATCGACCAAACAACCAAGAGTCGCCTGCGTGCCGCGAATGTAGATTCCACCCGTTCCTTCTGGAGTCATCTTGATCGACACACGATACAGGTCTGCGATGAGGAAGGACAAATTCAAAGTAACAGTTTCCTCTCTCTTAATTTTGCCAGCAACCAGGATTACAAATTTATCATGTGTTCCGTAGGTAAATTGCTGACTCAGTTTCACCACAATGCTCCGTAACAGGCTGCTAAAAGCCAAATACTCCCGTGCAAAAACTCATCATTTCTGCTTTGCCAGTATTACGAATGAAAGAGTGAATGAGTTTTATCTCAACATGCTACTTAGTTCCTGAAGTAGGCTTGCTTTTTTAACCCAACGGTGCATGGTGGCCTGGAAGGATGTGAAGTGACGAAAGTGAAATTTCATTTTGATAGTCCCTTTTGGAGAGCCTTTACATGAGGTGCATGAGTTGACGCCCACTCAAACTGGTGTCCTTGTAATTCTACTATGTTGTGTTTTTTATTCTAGCGTGGCCTCAGCTACTGCCTGCAGTGATTCCCAGTTTGAAGTAAGTTAGCTTTACATGCCAATGTCGACGCCAAAGCAAACTTTGAACTATATTTTTAGTTAAAATTATGCTGTCCCATTGGCGATGTGGTACTGTTAAATTCTCAGCTTACGGCATCAAACATGAGATGTAGGACTGCCAAGGTTGCGCTTAGAACCTAATTTCTTAACAGAAGTAGAGTTGCGACATTTTCACTAACAATTGGCCACAACAAGTGGAAATGGACTTACGAATGACGGCGAAGCAAATCTTGGCCGTGGGCGTGCTCGAACGCAGAAACGGCACCGAACAACTCACACAAAACACACCCTCGCCCACGTCGTCGTTCAGTATCACCCTGGATCCATTCAGCAACGGGGGTCGTGCGTGGTAGGTGATTTTCCAGAAACTCCATCTTGGCAGCAGCACAGACTTAATCAGTTGATTGCTTTCACCAAGTGTGCATCTAATCGTCTCTGACTCATTGGGGCTGTTGAGGGTGTAAATTTCCCTCGCATTAAGTATTTGGACTTGCAATTTCCTAACATCTAGAAAATACCAATGAATACTAATGATTGCAACGTGCTGTGCCTCAAAACTCCCCAATTCATGTAACAGGAGTAAGTTCCAACTTTGTCTCTGTCACCATTGAAAACAAATGAGTGAATCAATTCAATTTGGCTAATTCCAACAGGTGGGTTCTAAGTTGAAAAGCTTTGGGTTCAAAAACACCATCACTCCTGCTCTTACAGGTCCGAAGTTCACACTACTTCACTACGCTACCCCACAATGAGTTGCAGAATTCACCGCAGTCTAATGCGAATTCCGGCCGTTGGTGGTGTTGGGGAGCAGCCACGTGATTTTCATGTTTGTGCTCTTCAGATTCAATCATAGCCAGATTGACAAGGTACTTGTTGAAGTTACTACGCGAATGAATTGCCTCGGAGGTCACAGCCTGCTGAAGTATTACTCTCGTCTATCGGAACAGCACTGTAACCTTGAATTGTGCCCCTATGAAATGTCCGACGTACCAACAGTCGTGATGTACTTTGTGTAGACCAAGGACTCATTTTCTCCGAAATCCATCCTCAGGTGGACACCAGTTTCATGCGGGTACTGGTGCATGACAAAGTCCTCCGTGAATCTGCTCCCGGATGACAAGATTGAAAAGGACGAATTGACCTCGCTGTCGGCGTTGTAGAAATAGATGCTTTCATGCAGAGATTGCAGCTGAAGGTTCGGTACCACTGACTCTGCATTAGGAATTCAAATAGCCTTCATCAAAATGTAGTCATTTAAGGCTCAAATACTGTTAAAAGAACAACATTCTGATAGCGTTTTCCCGCTGATTTAAGCAGTGTGAGGCATTTCTCTTGTTTAGCGTGAAGTTGAACCTTGTGTTTGAAACAAGTGATTAAGCATCCGCACTTGCTTAAGTGGGCAGGAAACTAGTGAGCGATTTCGAATAAGAGGATGGAATTATCTTTGGCTAGTAAAGCCTTTTTAGGTTCCCAGCTGACTTGTGCATCGATTTCGCTTAATAGCCATTGGGGTTTGGTGTACACCTCTACCAATCTTTCAAGGCGGAATTTGAACAGTAAAACCAATACGCACCGTAGGAGTAAATATCCATTCTGCCAATTTCACCGTACAACTTGCCAACTCGCAGATAGCATCTGATGGAATAGACCCTGGGGGTTTTCGACTGGTCGCCTGGAGACACGTCAATGTACTCGGCGTCGGAAAGAATTGTCCTTTTGCCGTTAATGTAAACTGCCATTGCCAACTGGCCGTACTGCTTGATGAGGTCAGATCTGTTGGTTTCGCAGGTTAATCGTTGTCCCCTGAGGTAGAGAACTCGCCGTAGGACCGGTTCAATCGACACCGACACCTCGTTCAAAGCTGTGGAGTAGAATGCAACAGTCTTACGCGTTGTATGAATTTAGCCATCCAGGCTCTTAATTGGCCAAACAGCTATTCGGTACGGGGCTTTGGAGCGCCTCGTAACAGGCAACTCTACAATGCAGCACGTGGATCGTAGACTTACGGATGATTGTAAATGTCTGCTGAATGTCCACGGGTTGAGAGTGCACGGATGGTTTGCAGAGAAGCTTGGTGGTGAATGACTCTGTGTAGTAGCTGCGAATGACAACTTTTCCTATGCCGGCTCTTGGATTAATAAGTTCAGGAAAGAGGCACCGATAAACTGGGGTTTTGCGCCCTGTGTTGTCCTCCAGTGTCACTCGCAGATGAGGTTGAAATTCTGGCACGATCAGCTCGTGCGGAGGTACAATGATCTCGGGTGGTCGAAAAGCATCTGGAAGCAAAGCATTAGTGCATCAAGATCACCTTCTATGCAACCGTTGCATCTTCACCTCACTCTTCCAAGCTCTCTTCTGTTGTGGTAAATATACTTTATTTGAGTACACTGATATTAGACAAATCTAATCTACCTGTTTCCTGCCAAACTCACCGAAGTTGGTCACCCTTACAGGCAGACCGTAGCAATTGAGAAATGCTGTTTTCTTCTTCATGGGTTGTGTGCTAAGAAACTCGACAGCCTGCGTCTTTTCATTCCACTGCAACAGGGAACGAGATCGGAGCGAATTTGTCGCAAAAGTGCACGACAAGTCTGGACACTCGCCGACACTGTGTGTGTACCGCAAAACCGCCGTCACGGCGTTCTCCTCATCTCCGCTTTTCACGTCGATCATGCTGCGTAGGTCCATGAGGCAGGCATTTCGCGATGTCTCGTCTTCGGCCTTCAGCACCAGACCTCGCTCGAGGAGGAACGTGAAACTGACTCGACGCTTGATGCGTTGGAGTTGGTAAGTGCGGCTGCAGTAGCATCGAAATGTCTCAAAGTCTCTCTTAAACGAGTTGATTTCAATGTTGCCTTCGAAACTCGGTCCATCGGGTCGTGTGTTAATGCACCGCACGACGCAGACTTGAGGACCCAGTTGGGATGGTTTGTAAGAGATCCAGTTTGCCCCGGAGGAGGAGGAGACGTAGGTTGCTCTTGTGACGTAGAGGCGGTCCAACTTGGCAGTGAAAAGACGCAAGTTGGCCTGAACTGCAATGAAAGAGTAGAATTTGTGAAATGCCGAACCTTTGCCTGAGGTCGACCATTGACCACAGTGCGTGCTTTGGGGGGGGATATTTCGAAAACAAACTTTGTCCTGGTTTTTTTGTTCACTTGTAGCTTGAAAGCCACTTTGCTTCAGTACTCTGCTGGATTTTTTTCCATGTGACGTGGTGCATTTATCTGAACGAAACAGACTAAATTCCTAGGTAAATCAGTAATGCTAAACCAATATCACTTGCTTCTTCCGCATTACTAAGTTCACTACCAAATCACCTATTTATTGGGCTTTCAGACCCACAGATCAAGGCATTTGCGCTCATCGTAGTTCCAAGCATTTTTAATCGTTAATCGGCAGCAACTTTCAACTGTTCGAATGCCACTTTGGCTTTATAATTCAGGTGCAGTGCAGAGCATTATATTTCGCATCACCTACTGTGGTAGGGTGATTGAAAACACTTGCAGTGGCCTTCACCACAAAACAGTGCTTCCCTAGTGACAAAGATGAGTTTACACGAAAAACCTTGAGTTTTCAAGGATCACCTTGTGTGTGTATAACGGCTTTGTGGCGGTTACCGCACCAAGACACGGAAAGTGCTTAAATACACCACACAAATAATAGATCTGAATTTGAGCAGATCTATTCAAACGGTTAACAGAAACACCCTTTTATGCTTTGAGTAAAATCCGATGAAACACGATGACTCGGCCAAACAAAACAAGAAGAGGACTTAAAATAGCCTCTTTCCGAATTTGTCTTCCTTAAATAATATTGAAAGTTATAAATAATCGTTCGCGCAAACTTCCTTTCTCAGTTGGATCTGGTTTTGTTTTGTCAGCATAAAATGCCCGTCTAATTGTACGCGTGAGATATTCAGCCCTGTGAACAAACACGTCACCTTTCACTGGAACTCGCACATTCAGGAATGGTCAACCCACAAACCCATTATCCGATTTGAAAAAAAACACCAGTTTGAGTAGAAGCGCACTTACGTTACTTTTAACAGACACATCCACTTTTTGCATGTCTTGCGCGATGTCTTATTGCTCATAGGCTTGCTCGGAGGCCATCAACCCTACAATATGTTCGACATCGTCTAAAAGCTTTTTACGATGGCATTTCAGTCACTCTGGATTTAAGGGACAATTGTGGTCTTGATTCTTTTTTTTGTCGATAGTAAGCAAACACCTGCTAGCAATGCAGTGATTCCCTAAATTGTTAATAATGAACAAAGCCATCGGTGAATTGCCAGCTATTGCGGGCGGATTTGCAAACTACGCCGACGTCCTTTGACCCCAACCATCAGACACCCCCACGGCGTTCAAGTTGTCACCTTGGCAACCAAACCCATCCAGCCCTTGAACTAGGGCACTTTTACATTCAGGCATTTCCTTTTGACCTCTTCGTTGTCACACGCAACAAATGCAATTAACTTGGTGCCAGTCCTCGCGACAACGCAAACGCCATGATGGTGCAAGTAAATGAGACTAGTATTCGGCAGTGTGTTGAACAGAAACCAAACTGTTGCTTACCGAGGAAAAACATTTTGAAGGTGAATTCACGACTTTTTGTGCCCTTGTGCATGGCGTGACACTTCACCGCGAACTCGCCCTCCACCCTGTGATTTTGTATTTTAATGAATGGACTCTCAAAGGGGATTGTCCCGAAGCACTGGATCGCACGCGGAGGAATCGCCACCCCGTCGACGCACGCCTCAACTTCGATGTCCTCCACGTGTTCCCCGAGGAGGTAGAACTTCCGGTTGTTCAGTGCCCTCACGCGAATGCGATCAGGAACTGAGAAGGGTGTGTGGTAAACAAATTGAAGGCATGTTTTCACGGCAGGCGCTCAACACAAGACAATGCAAATCAAATCAGTTACTCACGGTATTTCGGATGGTAAAGCGTTGATGTGAGTGCGATTTGGCCAGCAAACGCAACGCAGTGGACGGCGAACGGCCCCGAAGGCAGCGACGACAGGGCCTGGCCAAACAAAATCGGCACGCTATTCTCCAAATCAACTCCAAAGCACCCGTACACCGTCATTTCGTCCATGGTCAGCACGTCGTCGTCCAGATTTACAACGTATGGTTCAGTCTCTTTGGTGTAGGTTATGTCAAACTTGTCGGTGGCTGTTGAAATCGCGACTTTAAATCAATCATTTGTTAATGAAACCAGACGCTAAACGAACATGATAGTGAGCCGCGCAAGCATTGATGATACTGAGAAATTTATCCTGCTACCAAAGGCAACTCACCTGGCTTTCAATGTGCGTGGGTCTCGAAACAATTCAAGAAGTTGTGCTCCAGCCTATTCCTTGCCCATTAACGGAGACGACACAAGTACTTGTCAGTGGTTTGGTGTCAGTACTAGAGTCTAAGTCACTCCTGCACTGTGATTGCAGCTTACTCTCGTTAATCCGATCACTGCAGCCTCCGATGCAGCATGCCGTCCTCAACTCCAGCCTCATTAGCGCGAATTATTATCCTGGATTATCCTCACACCTGGGTCCTCGTGTTATCTCGTTTATGACTCCATACTGCTTAACACATTTGAGCTAAACAAACTCCTAACTGATAGTGCTACTGATTAACAACAAGTAGTAACTATACCATTACGATCGACGCACCCAAGACAAGAACCGACTGGGGAGACACCTGACCATCTTGGCATGACACCACGTAACGTCCAGGAACACCGGTCAAGAGTGGATTGCGACGCGACAGAAATGTCGACGTCCCGACCACACAATCCTTGGGGTCGGCGATCAAGTCGAATTTGATTGGAAACGTGGACACATTTCGAAGGTAAGCAGAGTCCAAAGGGGGGTAATAAAATAGTTCCTGCATTTCTACAGACAAAACAACTTGCGGTGTTCAGTTAAGTTAAACAACATTTGGTTTAATTTACAAAACATTATACGTGCACGTTTGTAATAGGCTCTGTTGGTCTAGAGCCAAACTACCGGCTTTTACCATTGATTAACCTCATGCCACATATTGACTTTCAGTCAATTATTACCACCGTGTTTCTACTAAACATGGAATCAATAAATAACATCAAGCATACCACGTACAATTCTCGCCACTGAACAATCGCTTCGCCTACGTCATTCTAAGGGATACTACTGACTCTGCATTTCTGTTATCCGTTATTTGTGACTAATTTAACTGAACACTTCACAAGCCAATGGATGCACGTCGAACTTACTTATTACGGATATGTCTGAGCTGAATAGGATGCTTTCATTTCGATAACTCACGTTGCACTGGATTCGGTCGCTTGTGGGTGTCGTGGGAACGATGACTTGGGCAAAGAATGTCTTGTAGACGACTACTTTGTTTGCGCTATTTGTCATTCTGCATTGCACTAATTTGACCTTCTCGCGATTGGAGTCGAGTAAATAGCGCGTGGTGGTTGTGTTCAAGACATCGGGAGTGAACTCGCTGCTTGGGTACCAGTCAAATTCTTTCGTAACTGAATAGCCAAACTAATGTGTATTAATAAGACATCAGTAGTTAGGATTGCAAGAGCGTGGTGGCTTGTGTCACGCTTCTAACAGCATACTTTGCTGAAATGCCTTAAATGAAAGCTTAAATAACAAATGAGAGATTAAACTGAGCCTCTAGCTGTCAGCCACAGGCATCCGAAACGCTCATTTCACTACCAAATGTCTCGTCAGTAATTGATTTGAAAATGGCGTCTGTTAATTGCTAACTTTAAACAAAAAGAACTCAACCTTTTAGCGTGAACCCAATAGCCTTGAAGGGTGTGACGATGTAGTACCGGAAATGCCCTCCCACATATTTGTTGATAGTGATGATGTGGCCGGAGACTGTCGGACTGTCCGGGCCGTATGCTGCAGCTGGAATGACTCGGAGCCAGACAAACGGATGCGGCTGACCCTTGAGCAGCAGCTTGAAGGTGATGTTGACGCTCTCCAGAATGGAATAGGCGCTTTGTTTGGGGTCCCACGTCACCTCGAAGTCGGAGGGGTCTGCGCACATTCAGTGAAAGAAGAGTGAATTGTGTGGCAACAGTTGGTTGTCATTCGCAACGCGCACACCCCCACATCACCTCATTCTCCAAAGCCAACGCACATTCCGCGACACCCAGTGTTGCCTTGAACCCCCTCGTCATCGCTTTTTGTAAGGGGATCATGATTGTCGACCTTCGTCTGGACCTAATGTAATTGGGTGTGAAGTCACCTAGACTATACCACAGGGCATTCCTATTGTCTCCCATTGCGTCCACTCAAACTACAGGTAGGGATGTAGACCAACTCCCACTCACAAAAGCCCAAGTCTTATTCCAAAGACATGCCTGAGTGCCTATTCAATCTTCCACAATAAAGCATGATCTACAGACTTTTAGCAGAGCCTTAATTTGAATTGGAAGTGTTTGGTAACACGTCGAGTTTAAAATCATGGTTCATTAAATGCGAAAGTAAAACCGGAAGCAAAGTTGTGATGAGGTGCAGAGCGCCTACCGACAATGAACACCTCCTCGGATTTGTTGTTGATGATGCACGGCCTCACGTCGTAGTTCACCTCGGTCAGGGGCACCTTCTCGCCGCAGTCATACGTCGACGGCCACGTGTCCATGAAGTACTTGTACACATAATTGTGCTTCTCGTAGGCGTGTGTGTGGCAACAAACACTGACAAAAATCACGAAAGCAGTCACGTGGCCTGTGAGCGATTCCATAAGTCGGCTGCGCTGTGCAATTGATTGATGACCACAACCTTGAGACGGTCGAATGAAATTGATTGGTGGATTTAAAAGGGCGAACTTCGTCGACTGCATTTTGTCTGGCGTTTGTAGCGAGCATCTATTTGACGATTCTGTTCTACGTAAATTGGAATGTCCCATTCAGCAACTGGGGCTTTCTTCAGTGTAGGAATTCCAGACCAGCATTTTTGCAAGAAAGCGTATTTACAAAACGGCAACATGCTCCAATCTTAAATCCAGTCAACACCGAGATCTGCAAAATCCTGTTGCATTTACGTGTTTCCGAGTTATTCACACTGGATGCCCCAATTCCGAGAAGCAGAATGCCCAAATCTCAAGGAACGATGATTTTAGTGAGATTTTCTTGCTTTAGATATTGCTCTCAACTAACTTCGCCTCAAATAGGGGTAAATATGTTTTGGATAAATTACTACGGGGGATCAAAAGTAAGTTATTATGGACAACAAATGTCAGTTCTCTGCCACGAAGCCCAGTAACACCAAGACTAAGCTCAAAAATTATGTCATTGTGGCAAAAGTCACTCGTTTTACACATTCTGCATATCTTGGCTAGATTTTTAGTGGTCTCATAGAGTGAACATCAGGGTTGGAGCAGTCGACAAGTGGTTGGCCACCGGGCGCTTCTCACGCTTCACTGACCGCCTCTTGCCGCACAGCAGGTAAAACGAGGACACTGACACCTCTACTGTCAACCCTGCGTGGCCAGCCCTACGATGGCGTCGACATGTGCAGACATCGTCTGGACCAATCGGGTTAGTGGTTCCAGCATCTGTCGAAGCCCCTCACGCGTGACGCCTCTTCAAGTAACACTCTAGTTAGAACCGTGGCCATCGAAGAACGACCTACCCGGCAGCAAGACATGAAAGGTGCTTGCACTCGATGTAGACGATTCGGACTGGAAATTCACCTTCTGACTTCAACATAGTTTAACACTTTTGCATGCCTTCTCCTGCTTAAATTTTCTGTTATAAAAATTTAAGACGAGAGCGGTTTGAACATCCGTCAGCCATTAATAAGACCATTAGGTGTGGCTGATTCCCCAAGTCTATTCTCCGTGACACATCCTCCTTATGGGTAAATGTCACCTCCGATAGCCATCGAATCAGGGAAGGTGAAATGTCACATTCAATTACTCCGCCATTTGTCTCGGAAAAAGGTCCTAATGAAATGAAAGTCACCCGACAAAAAAATGTTAATATTTCTACGTGATTTCCCATTTGCCTGCACTCACGGCAATTTTGGAAATCTCGATAGTTGAACAAGGATTTCTGTCCGAAAAAACACCCCAACTTCTCTGTTGTAGAGGTTACAATTCACGAAGTATTCGATGTCGAATTGGAATGAAGATTAACCTTAATCCCCCCCCCGTTCCAAGAGTGGCATGTCCCAATGTCGCACCTTTCTGCATTGTTTTTTGCTTGTTAAGGTGAAATTTCATGTGATTCTCTGGGTTTTGAGTGCAGGCGCTCATGCATGCACAGACATTGGAAATCCGTTCAGGGAAAGTTCCAAACAAACACCGTAGAGCACATAAAGTCTGGCGCCAGGGTATCTGGCTACGTGACAAGGGATCGACAGTATGCCTCCCAGTGACTACCAAGGACTAGAAGTAAGCCCGATCTGCCAACACCTCTCTGCATTGACTTCAAACTATTCCGGCGAAATTCGAGCATCTGCCGGCCAATTTCGAGGTCGGCTGAATTGGGTGACTTATACTAGCACGCAAGGATTTCTAATATTTTTTTTCGCATACCTCAGTTATTTCAGCCACTCTGACCTGGTGTGGGCATTGATGAAATCATAACTAGGAGATCAGAGGCGTCTGTGGAAATTTCGATAACGATTTTTAAGTACGAAGAGCCTATTGTTTTATTTGCTTAAATTGAATTTCAGTAGGGTCCTGCTTTATTGCCCTGTTTACTTAAATGCTTTGGTTACTTAACTTCCACTCTGGCAAATCAATGCCACAAGATTGACGACTCGTAGTGTCAAGCGAATTTTAAAACAAATGCAAAATCCTCAAGGAAAAATTCACATTGCCTTCAAAATGATTGCAAGTTACAATATCCGTTTTGGGTAAACCAACTTGTACCAGCACAACATCCTATGATAGTCATCTGAGAGCTCGCTGTGTGAATGGCAAGTTTGCCTCAATTGGCCTCATCTCAAAGCATCTCCACTGCTCGGTTCCGCGCAGATGAACTCACCA